GCCAGGAAAAATAAAAGTTTTTCAAAAAAAAAAAAAAAAAAAAAAAAAACACCCTAAAAAAAAAAAAAAAAAAAAAAAAAAAGAAGAAAAAACTGAAATCAATAAAAAATGATGTCATTTTATAATAAACAGTGATGTTGAGAAAAATGAAGATTCACGAGTTTGGTAAATTCAGTTTGACCCCCACCTCCTCTCATCAAATCAAGTGACGCACCTGCTTGAGCTGCTTAATGAGGCTGCTGTTCTCCAGGTGAGCCTTGAAGGCCTGGATGGAAGCGGCGCCATCAGAGAATCGTCTGACAGGAGAGAAGCGCTCCATGGGGAGGTGGAGGGTGTTACAGTCCTTATAGGTGGATCTGAAAAAAGGTGGGAGCCGCAGGGAGCACACACACACAAACAGATGTGCGCATACACGCACACACACACCCCCACGTAAAAGGTGACACGACATAACACAGGCACAGTGACACACACGGACACATTCAGTCAGAGACACAGAAACACACAAGTCAGATCTTTCAACATTTGCTTCCAGTTGTCATAATGCAGTAAAAATGTGCAAAAATACTTCGGAATTCCCAGAATTGATAGATTTAAAAACTAAACAGGTAAAGGTTTTATGTAAATGATTTTCTTTGTCATACAAATAGTGACAGATGAGGTTTTTAATAATAAACAGAAAGTTTTTTTTTTTTTTTTCGATTAACATTGGACACGCGAAGAACTACTGTAAACTTTGACTTTTTCTATCATTATTTACAAGGTTTGTACCCAAAAATGCACCAATAAACTGTTGAGAATTTCAGCTTAATCAATGTCCAGCTTGTTGAAAGCGTAAAAAAAATAAAATAAAAATCTAATCTATATCCAGTCAGTATACATCATATAAAAACACACTCTCTGTTGTGGGTGTCTTTGCTGAGGGGAAGAAGACATTAAATGTGGATTTAAAGACAAACTATTTCTTGAAAGATGTGCTGGCTATTCATTACAAGTTCAAGTCAGAGGAAGACTTCAGCAGAGACTCATTTTGACAGAAATTTGCTCTTTTATCTTTCAGAGCTTTCCACCGATGTCTTTCACAGAATATGCTGAATCTGGGAGTTTTGGGAAACTTCTGGAAATCTTAGAGACGACTTAGTGCAACCTGTGGCTTTTACACACATAATACAGTATAGGTGGAAAAAAAAAAAGAAATAGAACTGAGCAGTGAGTTTAAACTTATGGTATTATAAAAGGCTTAAAATGTTTTGTTTCCATATTTTGCATAAAACAAAAGGACACAAATGACATAAATGACTATTAATCTTTTTTGTTCAGTCATTTAATAAAATGTTTCGCTATCAAACAGCAAAAAGTATCCAAAAATAAATGTATAAAATGTATTTTTCATAAATAATGTTTCACTCAAAACAATCCTTTAAGTTGATTTTTACGGTAAACGTTTTCTGGTAAAAGCCTCCTCTCTAATTCAATAATTAAATGAATAAAAGTAAATATTCTACACTGTTAAAGGTTTCCATGTGATGTTGCCTCCCCTCACTATTTACTGTCATTAGTTTCCTGATTGGTAGGGATTCAGGTAAGTGTAATTAAAAGTGGGTGGAGCCTGTCGTTTTAAATGAGCTGGTTCAGCCTCTCAGTTTCAGTTCTTATGTTACAGTCATTTAGTCAGTGCATGAAGTAGAGCTGAAATGATTAATCTGATTGTTATAAACTGATTCTAGAAATAATTGTCAACTAACTTAGTAATAAAACAATCATTAACTGGAGAATACAGACTCAAAAAGATAAGTTGAGTCTATACTATAGTTAAGTCAAAACTACACAAAACATATTTACATATTAAGCACAAAAAGATTAAAACATGTGCACTACAGGAATGCTATTTCAGCATTTTTGGCAACAAAAAACTTTTCTTATTTACGAAAAAATGTAACTGGTTGCATAATTTAATATATTTGCAATTTTGCATAAAAAAGGCTCAAGCAGTTAAATCAGTGGTTCGTAACCTGGGTTGGGTCGAACCCCAGGGGTTCGATGAGTCGGTCTCAGGGGTTCGGCGGAGCCTCTGCCGCGGAGGTAAAGACACACATGTGTAAAGTCGTGATGACGCCCCGCTTCGCCATCACTTGCTGCAGAGGATCACGTTACATTGCTTAGCCAATCAGTGCTTCCTGGACAGTCACCTCAACTGTGCTGAAAACACTGACTATATTTTGAAGAACTGTTCTCAGAGACTCTACCTTTTAAGAAGACTTAGTGATCTTGGGGTGACCCAACTTGATTCTAGTTGGGTCAACCCTATGTCTTGAATTTGGGGGGGGGGGGAATCATATTTTATTTATCACCACAGAAGGGTTCAGTGAATGCACATATGAAACTGGTGGGTTCAGTAGCTCAAAAAAGGTTAAGAACCACTGAGTTAAATTAAAAATCTGCAGAGTGTGAACATTTTTTATTTCTATTAATTGTCAGAAGAATCATTTACTAAAATAATTGTTAGTTCCAGCCCTAATGCATAGAAAACAGACTGCTCTCTACAGTTTGTGATGAAAAATGTGAAGTTTGTACTCATTTTAGGATAACATAGAACATCTGTTCTATTATAAAATATTGCTTCTACTGCCAATATAAATAATTAACGTCTGCTAGCAGCCAGAAGGCTACAAAGTTCAGAATCAGGTAAAAAATCAGCAGCGCAGGTTCGACCTTTACAACAACACAGCTGTGACGGGAGCATCTGTATCTATGGCCCTGCCTGGAAGGAACATCCTTCGCCTGATGCTTCTCTCATCCACGCGTGAAAAACCAGAGTGCTCTGTGCGTGGGAGTGTGTTGGTGTGTATTCAGCTCAGAGTGGGCGTGTCCCCTCACCGGGCGTATGTGTCAGGCACCCAGCCGGCCCTCTGGCGGGGGCCCTGGGGCCGCTGTGACTCTGTCGAGGGCTCGCCATGCGATGTGCTTGGGAGCACGTGCGTCGTGTGCCGCTTGGAGCGGTTCGCCAGGTACCTGGGCCGCAGGAAGGGGGGAGGAGGACGGGGTGAGGGTGGGAGACAGGAAGCAGCGCTGATCAGCTCTCTGTCCTCATTGGCTAACAGGGATGGGGGCGGGGGAAGGCCCTGCCCTTCCCTCCTCTGCCAATAGGTGCCATCATTCATATCATCTTAGCCAATCAGAAAACATCAAATAAAATGACACCACAGATGGATGTTAAGGCTTCATGGGAGTCAAACAACCACCCAGCTTCCAATTAAAGGATTGGGCTGGTTGCTATTTGTTCTTTTAGGCGGTCGCCGCCTTGGCAAGCTTCAGGAGTTAGCAAAGCTGTGTGAGAAAGGGTGAAAGAAGTCCACAGAGTCATTTGGCACTTACGCAGATGAGAAAGATAAAGAAGCTCTGGCTCAGAGAGTTTGAGAGAACGGATGGCAGAATCGCTTCGAGACGGCGGCAGAAGGCACTTGCGCAATGGAGAAAGAGGAAAAGATGGGATAAGCACCACAGCACAGTGGCCACCTCCCGAGGGGGAAAAGAAGCAGAGCAGCCTGAAGGCACTCACTCCCAGCAACCCAGGACACCGGCAAGGAGAATAGAAGCTGCGGTCTGAAGAGGAGCAGCTGAAACACCTTAGCACACTTTTCAGCCTAGCATCCCACAATTTGCTTTATAATTAAGGCTCCAACATACTTCATCCAAAGTCAGCACGCAGTTTGCAAACGTCTTTCAGTCACAGACCACCTGGGTGACATCTCTCCCACTTTAGTAAACGTCACGCAACTACCCACCAGGGTTCCCCTCCATCCTGTTTTTAAAAACATCATGGAAATAACGGCAAACCTTTCTGCAGACACCATGAACCACGACGTTTAGTTCGGCAGGTTAATGCCTCTCTGCGAATAAAACGATGCGATTTTCTTTGCGCGTCCATATCAGTGAGAGACTTTTTTGGCACTTTGATGAAGTATGTTGGGGCCTTAAGCCCTAAAGAAGATTGGATGCAATATTTTAAGCCATTTCTATGCAGCTATTTCATCTTTAACTAAAACTGAGACGAGATATGTTTTCCAAATGGTCTAAATTCTTGTTTTAACAAGGATCCAGTATCTCTAACTTTTCCCCATGAGATTTCAGCACTTCCCTGTTCAGACAGCAGCTCTATAACAAAAACCATTAGCACAAAAAACCCGTCACCATGGGTTACCTCTGCACTGCCTCTTGGTCTGGCTCTCCATCTGAACCCTCCTCATCCACCGGAGCTACAGCAGTGTTAGGATGCTGAGAGGGGCAAAGAGTTCACTGGTCAAAGCAACGTGGGCACACGGGCAGACAAACACACAACGCGGAGAGATCCGGACCCTCACCGGGCTGGTGACGAGCGGCGAGGGCCCTCGGGGCCTCTTCAGGAGCTGAGCATGCAGCTGGATGTTGGCCCCGCCATCGGAAGCTCTTCGGCCCAGGGGCCCCATGCCGTTGAGCAGCTGCAGGGTAGGCGGCTGCAGCAGCGATTGCTCCTGCGGCATTGGCGGTCGTACAGGGAAAATAAATCAAGATGGTTCCCGCACATAAAACGAAAACAATCCGGCATAACCCCGGTGACGGTACCTTGTACTCCAGCTGCTGTGTAGGCTGCAAGCTCTGTGTGGGCATGAGAGTGTGCATTTGGGCCATAGTGGGGGTAAGTTGGGGAAAGGTGGGTTGAGGGATCACACCACGAGGGAAACCTGGTGGAAGCTTTTGGAGTTCTTCCTGCATCTCTGTCCTGTGATGGAAGCAGGTGCATCATCAGACATTAGTCAGCAGATGTTTACGTTTCCATCCCACTAACCCAAACTGCCCCCATGTGTCCAGAAACACACTCGCTTTCCAAGACTTTCACAGTTTTTTTTTCTATTAGACTCAATGAACAGTTGAAAGTTTTTCAATTTCATTTATTTTGTTCATTTCATTCAGTATTATCTAAAAAAACAGTGGTAGAAAATCTCTAAAAGATATGATATCCCATTAAAGTATTCACACACCTCTCATTTCACCACATGTCTTCCAATGCATTGTGTCAAGACATCAATGTAATAAAAAATTAGTAAAATTGTGAAGTTTTTTTTTTTTTTTTTTTGACTGGGTGGTTCTTTGATCCAGCCCAAACCATTATAGTTCTTTAACAGCTTTATTTGGATGCATCCAAGTAAGGGTGGCTCAAAAGGTGGCATGCCACACTTTTCAGATTTTTATTTGTAAAATAAGTTGGTAAAATTAGACATTACATTTCCCTTTTACAGGTTATACTGCACATGAACTGCACAGGAGTCTGTGGTTGTAACGGGACAAAGTTCAAGGGGTATCGAAACTTTTACATATCAGTTTTAGTATTAAGTTTTAAACAAACAAGAGAAACAGGTTGAAAACAACATCAGAGTGAAAAGTTGACCTGTTACCTTTGGTCTGGTACCCCCACAGTGTGCCGCCTCATTGAAAGGTAGCGAGCCATCGCCTCTGGAGACGGCTCCTCCCCTTCATCACTGTCCAGGGCCATGCTACCATCAGTCTAAACACACACACACAGAGTTAAATATTAGGAATCCACGCTTGTACTTCAAGTGGCTCAAGTAAAATACAAAAACAGACTCAGATGAATTGCACTAGAATTATATAAAACCTCTTCGAGTCTTTCATTAAAATCTCTGCTGCAATGCAGTAAATTGACACTCTTGGTTTAGCGCGTGTGAGTCAGACTTTCTCTGTGTTATGTCTGCGTGTGCATGTGTGTGTGATTGTGACCGATAACAGTCTGAGAGGAGGGTCTGAGTCAACACAGACATAGTAAACAAAAGTAACAGCAGCAGAAATTCTCGACAGGAAGTCGATAGTTCTTCAGGTCCGACTTTGAGAAAAAAAAGAAAAAAAAAGTGAAAGTAGCTCATCTCTGACTTCTTTCAGATTCCTTCACAAAGATATGTTGACAACAACCCACGAAGAGTTCAAAGTTGACTCACCTCTACAATTTGGTTCTCTGGGTTGATGAGCTGAACATGGGGCACAGTCATGCCAACAGGATTACCTTGTTGGTCTGTCTGCTGGGCATGGACACACACACACACACACACACACACACACACACACAGGTTATGTGGAGCATTGTGCAGCACTCACCGCAATCTACTTAGAGCAGTGGGATTGACAGATGTGGGTTAAAACCTATGGACTCCGTTCAGTGGAAACATATGACTACCATAAGATTAACCCATCAAAGTCATGGAAACCCTGATGCCTTCCATAGAAACATGTGAGGACAAAAATAGTCCATTTCTGCTTAAATTAAAAAATCTGAAAGATGAGAGAAATATTCCTTCCGTGTTCACACAGAAGGAATATTCTGTGGGAATCCAAAATACCTCATTTTGGAACTTTTATCTTCCAAGATGAAACAACACATATTTATCATCAAAAATTAATAAGTAACAAAATATCCATGAATAAAAGACAAAAAAAAATTGTGGTTCTTCTCCAGTCTGTTTGGTACTACTAATTAATTCACTTTCAATATTCTAGTCAAACCATAATATACATTTTATTCATAAAAATGAAACGTTAACTTTTGTAAAACTAGAGACTTGCATACTCTATGTTCACTTTCACAAAACAGCTCATTAGATTGAAGATTTTATACAGAATAATTAGAAAATACATTCATAATTCTGACATTAGATTTTCAATAAAGTGGTCCATAAAGTGGTTTCATAATCAAAATAAAAAATAAAAAAAATCTGCAGGATTCCTCTCTTGTCCTTAATATTAATGCAGGTCTCCATCATTGTCAGATTAACATTTCTAAAAGGTGTTATGATACTCAGATTTTATCACTAAATCTGTTTGTGAATCGGCGCATTTTGAGAGGAAGAAGAATCAAATGCCTGAATTACAGAAGTATTAAAACAGCCGTTGAAGTTGCCGTTGGGTCTCCTCTGGAATGGAAGATGAGTGCAATCACGAGCGATCAGCATTTAAAAACACAAACGGAGAGGCAGAAAATGGTTCACCTGAACGGCGTTTAGAGGATAGCTAATGGAACGTGGCGGGGGCGGTGCGACACGCAGCGTCTTGTGTTTCTTGAGGCGTTCCGCGAGCAGGCTGTAGATGGCACTGTAGTGATCGTATGCATCCGTTTGCAGGGACTGGAATAAACCAACAGGGCGCAAGCATTAGCTGTCAGAAATCGGTGCTACAAACCCAGATGCATCAACGTAAGCGAGTTGCGTCCAACCTGAATTGTGCGCTCTCGGTCCAAGCCCATCTCAGACATGGCCATCAGCACCTGCTCATTGATTAGCTCTATCTCTCTCTCCGTCTTCACCTGCTCACACTCCGCTATCAACTGAGAGGAGAGACGGGCAGCGCAGAGCTAATTAGCTTCTTCCAGAGAAGGATCAAAGGAAACGTTTTTTTGGGTTACGACAAAACATTGTTGAATCATCGGTGACGGTTGTTTATATGGTCCGGAAGAAAACACTGAGTGCAATATGTTTGGTTCCATATTTAATAAAAGGGTCTCACCCTGTCGAAGTCTGGGTCTGGGTCTCCTTGTCTCATCCACTTGTTCTTACAGATCTGCTCCATACTCAACCGTCTGCTGGGCTCCAGAACTAACATGTGTCTAATTAAGTACTCACAGTCTGTAATGACACAACCAAACAAACAGAGTCCATCCAACGTGAGACAAGAGAGGCTGAAACCAAAACACACACCGACTCCAGAATTATTGAATGACTGTTAAGCCACCTAGAGGATAAGTCAAAGGGTGGAATTCATTGGTTTTTAGCCTCCCCGAGTCAATCATTTGTATCTTTCCCTAAAATTAAGTCATGTTGGGAAAGTCTCTGCCGGTCTTGCGCCGAAAAACTAAAACTTCTGTCATTTTCTCTGCAAATCATTTGATTCAGGTGTGCGTCTAAAAGTTGCTCTTGAGGACTGGACTCCTCTAAACCTTGTAGTTTTAGGCTCATTGTTGAGCTGTGAGCATGAACCTCTGCAGCCATGTGGCTCTGTAAGTTCACAGTTCTGCCATTGAATTTTAGATGATAGTTAAAGGTTGACATTATATTGTGGAACCTAACTCTGCTTGTGGCCTCTGTCATGAGGACGTCGTCATCCACGTGGACCTGTTGGGTAACATATACCCGAATTGGAGGTGACAGTTAAGGGGTTAAACCTCTCCACAGCTCCCTCCTCCCCAACGTATCTGCTTTGTCTCCTGGTCTTCGTGATGCTGTTTATTCTCTAACAAACTTTTGAGGCTTTCGCAGGACAGCTGGGTAGATGATGAAGTTATCTGAATTCAATTGAAATTACACATCAATTCTACTTCGAGCCACTGAACACAAATAGGAAGCACAGGATTTTATATATGCGTATTCACAGTAAACGGGACAAACTAAAAAAGCTTTCTTTTTTATACTAAATATCTAATAACCACTTTTCTTTCCGTATTTGACAGTGTGTCTCTTAGCTTTTGTCTTTTTTCATTTCTACTTGCTGAAACATTATTTACTTTTAGAACTTGAGTAAACCTGGACCCTGAATCTTTGTCATGCTCTGCTTTATGCCGGTCTATCACAAAAAATGCCATTAAAGAACATTGAAGATAATGTGAAAGTTCAAGGGAAACCGAATGCTTTGGGTGGACATTGTATATTGTGATGTGCTTTTACTGTTAAAACAAACATTGTGTGTGTTGGCGTTTATTTATACATTTGTTCAGTCTCCAGGTGGAAATAAATCCCTACCTGTGGACATGAAGAAGGGGATGCGGAACTTTCCACTGAGGACACGCGCTCGCAAGTTTTGGAGAGTGCTGCCATCAAAGGGTAAGGCGCCACACACCAGCACATATAACACCACACCTAAGCTCTGTGCAGGACAAAGGCAAAGTAAGAACGAGCACAATCAATCGATTCTGGATTTTTACATTAGATTTTAGTTCATGCTCTTACCCATATATCTACTTTGGGTCCGTCGTACTCTTTACCCTCAAAAAGCTCTGGAGCAGCATAGGGAGGGCTGCCACACCACGTCTTCAGCAGCTGGCCTCGGGAAAATATGTTGCTGAAGCCAAAATCTGATTGCACAGGGAACAATAAATATTATAGCACTGTACTGTAAAATAGGGACTTCATAAAAACAGGAAAATGATCCAAAAGAACATGCCAACATGCGCCTGCCAAACAAACCCCTTCGCAGAAATGCACAAACCTGCGATTTTAATGTTTAGGTTGTGGTCCAGTAACAGATTCTCAGCCTTCAAGTCTCTGTGGACGATGTTGCGGCAGTGACAGAAGTGGACCGCTGCCACAATCTGCTTAAACTTCTTCCTGGCGTCCTTTTCTGCCATGCGCCCGTGGGCCACCAGGTGGTCTGTAAGAACAAGGAAGAGTTGGGGCATTTTACACCATAAGGACAACTCATTTGTTACCGTCGTGGAAAAAGTAGAGCAAATAAATAAAATACGAGAACGGAGCGTTTCAGCTCATAGGCTTTATGCATCAGGACCGTAATGCCCTGCTCCAGATCACACAAATCCATGCACTTTGTTACATGATCATCAACAACTAAGAGAGGTCTGTTACCAGAATGCAAAGAAAGAAATATCTCATCACAGATTTAAAGAAAGGAATTGACACCTTGCATCAATCTATGAAGGTTACGTCACTGTACGGTGTACATATTTTTACCAGAGTGAAAATAGGATTTTTGCTTTAATAAATAAGGCTAAATGCCAAAAATGTGGTTTCCAGGTCTGATAAAAGCACTAAAGAAAAAGACGTTAATGCAGATAAAACTGGTCAAACGAGTAAATTAGGGTGTTTTCACACCGGACAGTCTGGCAGACTCGGTTCTATTTGGGACCAGCATTGCAACACTTGTTATATTTTCAGCTGGTGCGGTTCACTTTCACACTGCACCGTGTCAAGCTTTCACACTGCACCGTGCTTTC